TATAACAGAACCCATTAGCTTGTCTTATTTGACATGGAGACTAGGAGAAGGGAGAATAAACAGAAAGAATTATCCATTAATCCATTAATATCCAAAATATATAAAGAACTCATGCAACTCAAAGCAAAAACCAAATAATCTGGTTAAAAAATGGGCTGAACATCTGAATAGACATTTTTCCAAAGACATAGAGATGGCCAACAAGTACATGAGAAGATGCTCAACATCACTAATCATCAGGGAAATGCAAGTGAAAACCACAATGAGATATCACTTCACACCTATTAGAATGGCTATGATCAAAAAGACAAGAAATAATAAGTGTTAGCAAGGATGTGGAAAAAAGATAACCCTTGCTCACTGTTGGTGGGAATGTAAATTGGAGAAGCCGCTGTGAAAAACAATATGGTGGTTCATCAAAAAATTAAAAATAGAACTACCATATGCTCCAGCAATTCCACTTCTGGTATTCATCTGAAGGAAATCAAAACACTAAGTTGGAAACATACATGCACCCCCATGTTCATTGCAGCATTATTTATAATAGCCAAGACATGGAGACCACCTAAATGTCCATGAGTGGGTAAATGGATAAGGAACATATGACACACACACACACACACAAACACACGTACACACACACTGGACTATTACTCATCCATAAAGAAGAATGAAATCTTGCCATTTGTAACAACATGAATGAAGCTTGAGGGCATTGTTCTAAGTGAAATAAATCAGGCAGAAAAAGATAAATACTGTATGATCCCACTTATATGCAAAATCTAAAAACCAACCGAACCAAACCAAACAAGCAACACCCAAGCTCATAGACACAGAGAACAGATTGGTGGTTGCCTGCAGTGGGGGGTGGGTAAAATGGGTGAGGTAGGTCAAAAGGTACAAATTTCCAGTTATAAAATGAATAAGTCATGGGGATGTAATGTACCGTGTGATGGCTCTAGTTAATAATACTGTACTGCATATTTGAAAGTACCTAGGAAAGTGGATCTTCAAAGTTCTCATCAGGAGAAAAAAGATTTGTAACTATGTATGGTGAGGAAGGTTAACTGGACAGATGTGGTAATCATTTTGCAATATATACAAACATTGATTCATGACATTGAACACCTGAAATTAATATATAATGCTATGTCAATTATACCTTAATAAAAAAAGGGAAAAATTAATGCCATTCTTACTGGTGAAAATAATTTTTAAAATGTTGAGTCTGGGGGTGCCTGGGTGCTCAGTTGGTTAAATGACCAACTCTTGGTTTCAGCTCAGGTAGTGATCTCGGTCTTGAAATCAAGCCCTGCATTAGGCTCTGGGCTTAGCTCGGGGTCTCCTTGGGGCTCTCTCCCCCTTCTTCTGCCCCTCCCTCCTGCTCACTCGCTCTCTCTCTCTCTCCCTCCCTCTAAAATAAGTAAATAGATCTTTAAAAAAAATGTTGAGTCTGATATTAAAGGATGCCAGGGATGCTGTTGGTATGCTGTATCTACTTTGCAGGGTCTTTTTTTTTTAATTTTTTTTATTTTAAAGATTTTATTTATTTATTTGGGAGAGAGAGAATGAGAGAGAGCACATGAGAGGGGGGAGGGTCAGAGGGAGAAACAGACTCCCTGCCGAGCAGGGAGCCCGATGCGGGACTCGATCCAGGGACTCCAGGATCATGACCTGAGCCGAAGGCAGTCGCTTAACCAACTGAGCCACCCAGGCGCCCTACTTTGCAGGGTCTTTTCATTGTAATTAGTGTATCGTAGATAATGCTGTTGATTTAACTATATTTCCTCTGAATCCATTTCTTAAGAGATTCCTCCTTTGACAATCTATTTTTCTTTATCATATTTTCTGAAAAGAATGTTCTTTGGGATCTCATTTGCTAAAATTTTTCTAGTGTTCATTGATGAATTAATAAAGTTGGCTCCGCATGCTTGCTGAAGCGAGCTCTCTCTCCTTCTGCGTGAGGCATCCGAATGTTGCCTCAGGTCAAGTGGCGCTTGGAGTCCTGGTCCTGGCTTGTCTTTGTACGAAGATTCCACTGTACTTCTTTTCCCCAAAGAGAGGAGGGCCATGCTGACATAGAGGAACTTTGCAAAATGGCCCCACTTTCCCCTGAGAAACCGAGGGCCACCCAGGCCTTTTTTATACTTTGCTTTTTGGTATACTCTAGTAATTTTGCATTTATTATTCATTGTAGTGATGTAACAAAATGTTAGGTTTCCCTCACTTCCACGATAGGGTTTGACGATGCTTTCTTGGGGGCCAGTTGCCTTTGGCACAGTTCCATCAAATACTTGCAGCTGCATGAGTTAAAATTTGTGGTGAACCGTGAGCTCTACATGGCAGGATTTCTGGGAGCCTCATCTGTGACTCAGTGGACCAAGCACTGTGGTAGAAAAGCCAGCCCCGCAGCTTTCACCTCCTAGCCAGATGCCTAGATTTTTGCCTGAAGTGTTGGATTTTCATTTGGAAGCTTAGCATGATTGTGTCTCTCCCAGCTTCCTCGGCATCTAACATTTATTTAAAGACAGTTGGGTTAATGATTGGAAAGTACCCTCTCACTGATCTGGCCCTGGGGGAATAAAAGCTTCTATTATGGATGCGCCCAGAAGAGGTGCATCCTAACTGGAGCTGCTTTTAGCATTCCACTGGGGTTGAGGAGGGGCCGTGTGAGAGCGTTCTCTTTTAATGTCCCTACGCTGACTCCTTACATTTTATTACCCACTTGCTAAACCCATACAGGGCAAAAGTGTAGCAGACACATACACACAGACTTAGTTCCAAATTATTTGCAAAGTTGGCACTTGTTTCACTTAATCTTGAATTGCACCAAAGCCATTAAGAGAAGCCAAAAAAAGCTGAGTTCAGTCCGTAGGGAAAATGGGACTAGAAAGCTCCCATGCTATGGACATTCTCTCACAGCCTTACATGGGAGTGAGAATGGACTTCAAATTTAATTTTGTTTGTGAGAAAAACAGATTCCTTCCCTCCACAGTTGAAAATGCAGAATATAATGATTTTATTCACATTTGGCTTTGGGGGCCCTTGTTTGGCCATTAGATGTCATGTGCCCAACTGTATCTTAAAAATTGTGCAAATCTCAAGTGTGGCAGGAGGTTCATTATTTCAGCGAGGGTTCCTGGTGGGCTTCTTACAACTGAGAGGTGGGATGGCTTACAGGAACTTCAGTGAGACTGAACATTACAGTGGGAGCCACATGGAATCAGAAACCGTGTTTGCCTCATTCTCTTCCCAGTCATGTCATGTCCAGGCCTAGCACATAGTAGGTACTCACTGAATATTTTTGAATGAATGAATGAATGAATGAATGGTCACAGATTATCTGAGGATCCACAAGCTTCTCAGATATAGAACCAAAGCTTCTGCTGCTCTTTTCTTTCATGAGATTTGGAGTCTATGTGTGTGTGGTTCTTTTATTCAGGAATCTAAGGCACGTGCTACTAGTTTGTAAGGGAGGCCACTGAACCGGCAACAATAAAGGACATTATCCTATTGTCCCATGAGGGCCACCATCAGGGCTTCACTGAAAACAGAGCCTCCCCACCCACCCCCCAAAGACCTATCATCACTGGTCCCAACATGGGGCTGGAAAAAACCTGAGGGTCCTGAAAATTACTGCTAAGTGTCTGTGACTCCATCTTTGTGTGTGTTTGTATGTATTTTAAATTAGCTGGTGCTCCATGTATGTATATGTGTGAATGTGTGTGTGTGTGGGGGTGCTCTGGAATTATGACGTTGAATGAGGAACCTTGTCCTTGTACACACAATGTCCCCTCCCATTCCCCACTCCCCAAGAGGTGCAGATCAAGCTAAGCTTAGATCACAGCCCTTCATTCAAACACTTCCAGGTTTGGGGCATTTTGTGTAGGTGTAGGATTCTCAGTTCCCACAACAAATGAAATGGGACTGAAGAAGGAACCACAAGCAGAAAGTGGAAGGATATGGGGGAGAAGTCCAAGTGATTTCATTAGAAAGAGAAATGTAAGCAAAAGCACTGGGAAGAGTCACAATCAAACACAATTTCTAGACAAAATTGTTCTTAGAACATCTGCCTTTCCTCTGGTACCAGCATTATAATACCACAGTGATATGCCCAGCCCAGGATGGGATCAATGCCCTGAGTTTTTCCATAGTAAGTCCTGTCAGAGCTGGGGCTCAGCAGGTGGTCCAGAGTCTACTCTGGCTCATTCCTGGGGCTAGTCAGGCTCACTGAGGGGTTGGGATCCATCAAGCTCTCTACAGAAAGCGAAGAAGCCTGGAGGCTGGTACAGTGTCCTGCAGGGCTGAGGGAATTGAGTAGGTGGTGGGCAAGGTAGACCAGCTAACTAGAGGATCTTAGGGCAGTGAGAGCTTCTACAGAAGTCCTGAAAAGGCCCTCTAAGACCCTGGGGCTCTGGCAAGGTAAAAAGTGAGCAGCAGGTAGAAGCAGAAATGCAATTGCTCAGGACTGGCATTTGATGGCAAGAGCAAGGAAGGTTTCCAGGTTCTGAGAAACCAAGATCCCAGGAAGGACCCTGGACAGAAATTCAGACACAATGCGTCAAGACTATTTCTAAAACAGGGCATAAAAATAACAATAGCTAGATAATTGGAGGCATACTATGAGCTGGCATTGCATTGGACCCTTTATAATGATGACTTCATTCAACATTCACAAAGCTCACACCAAGGGTAAAATTTTTCAGATGAAGAAACTGAGACCGAGAGAGGTTATTTAATTTTCCCAAAGTCACAAGGTCACAGAAGGTAGTAGATGGGGGACCTGGGACTTAACCCCATGTCTGTAACTCTACCGCCTAGGGGTTTAATGCTAGTACACTGCGTGGTAGAAGCTTGGTCAGGGAGCAGGGACAAGGTGAAGGGCAATGATAATGAGCACCAGCTGGGGCTCATTCCAACCCTGCAGCAGACGTGTTCACATACATTGTGTCCTTTAACCTTTATGATGTCCTTGTCCTCGTTTCGTTTTTGTTTTCCAGATGAGGGATCCAAACACATAAAGACAAACTGGCTGGCCTAAAACCACACAGGAAAAAGGCAATAGCCCAATTAATGGGACTGCAAAGCCAGCAGCAAGACTGCCCTGAGGCTGACCGGCCACAGGAAAGGAATTCAGGATGTAATACCTGCTACACATCTAGGCCTCCTTAATCCGAAGGCTGAGCTCCTAAATGTTCTCTAGGGTAGAGAGCAATTGCGAACCTACCTAACTTCAAGGAGTCTGCCTTCCTGTTCTAAGTGTAAGGAGTGGGTTTCATCTGATATAACCCAATGATGCAGTTCGTCTCCAGAATGAATGAGTCATGGATTTAGTCCTTACATTGAGTTCAACACCTTACACTCATCTCTCTGCTCAAAGGCGGCTAAATCGGGTAGGTACTATTATAGAATAAGTGAAAGCTAATTTTAACTTCAGCTATGTGTCATTTCTTTTGAGTTCTCTAAACCTGGGTGCAATTATTACTCATACTAAGCGAAGAGAATTAGGCAGGTTGTTTCATGCCCTTTTAAAAAAGATTGTGAAAATTTGACTCTTTATATTTGTTGTATGTACAGTTGAGAGAAGGGTAAAGACAACATGATATTGGAGAATCAGAGGCTTAGAAATTATCCATCAAGTAACAATCAACCAATCAACAAATGTTTTTTGACTGCCCACTCTGGGTCCTGCACTGTTTTAGGCATTAGGTTGTAAGGTCATTTGGAGAGGTCATTTAGACTAGTGCATCTTTAGCTATCTGTGAAGAAAGACCATTAAAAATTTTTTTAATCCATTGTTGACCAATATTTCATAATGTACAATAAAACTGGGTTATAAGAAAAATGATCGCATAGTTGGATGTCATGGCAATATCAAATTGCTAAAAAGTTTATAAACACTCTCAATTTTTGTACTTTTTCATTACAAACAGTTCGTGGAATGGCACCGATCCACAGACCACAGTTTGAGCAGCACTGATTTAAACAAGGCTTGACTACTCTGCAGCCATCTCAACAACTGAAAAACTAGTTTTTGTTGCTGTTTCTTTCCATTTTTTTTTCTTTTTGCTTATCATGTTAGTGGAATTTCCAATGCTTGATGATAATTTTTAAAGAAACTCTTTGTTTCAAGGTAAACCACACTTTCCCCACCCGAGAGATAAGGGGGAAAGCTTCCTTCAAAGACCGACCTATAAAAAGTACATAAAGAATGAAAGAAAGAAATATAAAATATAACACCAAGCTGAGGGGGAAGAAAATGAGGCTAAGGCTATGCTTGCAAAGGAGGATCACAAATGGTCAAAAAGTTGCTTTCAGAGGAAAACTATGACTCATAAGATAGCTACAAAAAGAGTATCTAACTGTGTGGATCCACATAGATACAGAATGCAGAAATCTATTTTTATAGAATTGTTCTTTCTGTCACTGTTCTTGGTGCCGTGGCAGAAGGCATATTCACAAGAACTTTTTTTTCTTTTTTTGACTTGGAATGAAGTTGACAGAGAATTTTGGCAAGAGTGAAAAACAGGGCATGAAACTCACGAGATCAAATTTTTCTTTTCCCTAGATACTTACCCATGAGCAAGAGCCAGAAAAGAAAAAGTAAGAAGAGACTGACTTAATTTATCTTAAAGACATTAACTTCATAGAAAAATATTCGAAATACAAAAGTCACTTTCTAAAATCTCAATTTCTGAGAAGTGTCTTGAAGTAAAAACTTCCTCACCCTAATTGGGAAGAGTGTTTTCTGTATTTCACTTCTAACGCTCACTCGAGGCATTTAAGAATGGAACATGCAAATAGTAGGTGATATTTATCAGTCATATTGATGAATAAGAAGAGACAAGATTCTGGGTATTGTTGTTGTTTGTTGATGCCTAATAGATCACCTTAAAATCCAGTGGCTTAGAACAACTGCAGACGGTCCCTGACTTAAAATGTTTTGACTTGCGATTTTTTGACTTTATGATGGTGTGAAAGTGATATGCGTTCAGTAGGACCTGCACGTGGAATTTTGAATTTTGATCTTTTCCAGGGCTAGCAATGTGCAGGTACCATCCTCCCACGTGATGCTGGGCAGTGACAGCTGCATCCGCCCAGTCAGCCACACCATCGTGTGGGTAAACAACTGATATGCTCGCAACCGTTCTGGACAACCATTCTGTTTCTTACTTTCAGTACAGCATTCAATAAATTACATGAGCTATTCAATGCTTTATTATAAAACAGGCTCTGTGTCAGCTGATTTTGCCCAACTATTGGCTAATGTAAGTGTTCTGAGCACGTTTGAGGTAGGCTAGGCTAAGCTGTGGTGTTCAGTAGTTTAAGTATATTAAATGCCTTTTAGACTTATGATACTTGCAATTTATGATGGGTTTATTGGGATGCAGTCACGTTGTAAGTCAAGGAGGATCTGTATTGCTTTATTCATGATTCAGCAGTCTGGGCTGGGATCAGCTGGGCAGTTCTGCTGGTCTTGCCTGGGGTCTCTTATGCAGGTGCTGTTATCTGATGGGCTGTAATAACTAAGATAGCTTCACAACGTGCCTTGCATGGTCTCACAGGATCTCTTTCTACATCCCTTCTTTCTCCAGCAGGGCAGTTGGACTTCCTTGTGGCATGGAATCTGGGTTCCAAGAGGGAGAATTCTGAGATGACAAGTGCTTTTCAAATCTCTGTTTGCATCACGCTTGCTAATGTCTCATTTGCCAAAGCAAGTCACATGGTCAAACTCAGACTCAGTGTGGGAAGGAGCAACACAAGGGCAGGAATTCTCAGAGGCATGGTTCATTGAGGGCCACTAATGTAATGGTCCATCATAAAATTAAAAAATTTTTTTGAAATTATATAAATGTAAAATCTGTTTCTCTTAATAAGACAGAATTAAGTTACTTGGAAAATCCAGCTCACATTCTAGAGCTTTGTAAGATGGCACTGGTATTTGGGGATGCTCTTAATGACTTGTAGGGCTATAAAACCTCACCAGATTAGATCACCCAAGCCAGCTGATCAATTCATAAATATCTATCAAGCACCTATCAAACCATTATCACTATGCAAAGTGGTATGGAAGATACATTTTTCTTGCATTCGGGGTCCTTGCAACAGAGTTGGAGAATACAAATAGTAATAGTAATGTAACAATGTTGCAAACAATGTAAGACAGAATACAACGAAGTGCCAAATTGTGCCATATAGAATATTAAGAAGTAAAGAATTTCAAACTTTTAGTTATGCCTTGTTCTGATGAGGCTTTCAACACAGAGACATGGTCTAAGGGGCATAATAATCCGTTAATAATCCAAGTCTGCGCATGTAGACTTGACTATACTGTCTGATTCTACTGATCCTCCTCTCAGGGGTCGAAGAACCTGGCTTCGTGAATGCAGAGAACACGGGAAATCAGCCACTTAAAGAAAGGTGATTAAACTTTCTTGAACTTGAGTCTTTGTCCTTCTTTTGAGAAAGCAGATGCCTCGCAAGACAATTTGTCAGCATCTGCCTGGTTCTCCTTTCGTTAGTAATCTACAACCTGTCCATGGTGCTACATTCAGCTGCTTTGGGAAGGGATGGCAGTTGAGTAGTTGTGCTGAATGGTGAGGAATGTGATGGCATCGGGAGCCGCAAATTATCCCAGATATGAGATACCGAAGAACCAGAAGAAAAAACAGAGATTCGATTCTAGCACCAACTTGTATTCCAGACACTCTGCTTAGACGCTGGGGATAAAAATGAACTAAACCTGGTGCCTGCCTCCCCAAATCCCACAGTCTAATAAGTAGGCAGGTCTAAATGCTACAATAGGGGCATGAATAATACAGCGTGCAAGCGCAGGGACAGGCGTGGCTGGCTGGGAGAGGAACAGAAGAGTTCGCAGTAGGGAAAGCCTGCCAAATAAGGTGATGCCCCAGGTGAATTTTGAAGAGTTAATTGGAGTTAGGTTGTTAAGATGGGAAAGGGCAGTCCTGACAGAAGATATAGCCATGAGCAAAGGCATGGAGACACACTCAGGAATAGGAAATCATTTGAGTAGCCTGGAGAATAAGGTACCGTGCAGGCAGGTGAAGGAGATAGGGCAGAAAAGAAAGCTAAGGCCAACTTATAAACTGCCCTACTAAGGAGTTCAGATTTTTATCCTAAGCACTAAGAAATATTAAGTGATGTTGAGCAGAGTAGACACACGATCACATTCACATCTTAGAAATGGCACTGCCCAGATGACGAAAGTGTTCTATAATCTCCTCCATTCAGTGTGATAACTGCTAACCAGATGCGGCTGCTGAGCACTTGAAATGGCAGCCAGTGTGACTGAGGAACTAAATTTTTAATTTTTTAATTTAAATTTAGATAGCCACATGTGGCTCTTGGCTACCATATTGGACGGCTCAGCTCTAGAAAAATCCCCAGAGCAGTGGCGTGGAGGATGGATTAGATGAGGGCATGACTGGAGGGACTTGGAAGATTCTGCAAATTCAGGTGTGAAATAATGTGATCCCAAATTAAGGCTGGGGCCATGGGAATGGATGAAGGTGACCAACCTGAGAACTACTTAGGAAATGAAATGGGTAGAATTTGGGATCTTATCTGACATGAGGGAGCAGCCCTGATCATGAGAACAAGATGGGTACCAAGGAGTAGGGACAAATAAGTATACTTAAGAGGATAAAGCCAAGTCCAGAGGCTGTGGAGCAGCAGAACTGGGATTGATATGGCAGAAAGTTGTGATAACGCCTTGATCTGGCATATAATGCTGGTCTTCCATTACTATGCAAGATAGGCTGTAAGTGAGAGAGACTGCAGGCAGAGAGAACAGCTGGGAAGTTGACCTTGCTGTGGTTGAGAGTGGTCTGGACAAGGTGGAGATAGCTAGAGGGTGGATGAATAGGTGAACTCAGGCTAATGATAACCAGCGTCATTTATTTATTTATTTAGTTTTAAGATTTTACTTATTTATTTGACAGAGAGAGAAAGAGAGAGAGCGCACAAGCAGGGGGAGCTGCAGAGGGGGAGGGAGAAGCAGGCTCCCTGCTGAGCAAGTAGCCTGATGCGGGGCTCGACCCCAGGACCCTGGGATCATGACCTGAGCTGAAGGCAGACGCTTAACCCACTGAGCCACCCAGATGCCCCAGCATCATTTGACCATAACGGAAAGAGAACAGTCAATGAGAAATCCATGTTTTCCAGTCTGACAGGGGAAAGGAAAGGGAAAAGTGAATTCATGATTCTTAAGCACCTATGGATTAAGCCCTATGCTAGATAATTTCACAAAAACCTTCTCTGTGGGATGCTAGACAAACTGGTGTTGTCACTGATGGAAATGCACTGGCCAAGAAAAGGGCATAGTTCGTATTGTTCCACTGCATAGATTTTGAATGTGACTTGTATCTTAAGTGGAAGATCTACTTTTCTATATGTATTTGTGTTGAGGAGGTGAGAAAAGAGAATTAAGGATGTATAGGCAGTGGGATTTTAAAAAATACACCTACTACCTACTCACATAGTTTATTTGATTAATAAACATTTTTAAGAGATTTTGTTAATGGGTAGTTTCATGGTAGTAGACCTGATATTATTATTCTCTTGGCTTAAACAAAGGACATTGCCTTAGAGTTCTGGAGACTAGACACTGAAATCAAGGGGTCAGCAGGGTTGCTTCTGTCTGAAGGATGGGAGAAAGAATCTGTTCCATGCCTTTGTCTGTTTCTGGTGGTTTGCCGGCCAACTTTGGCATACGTTGGCTGAAAGATACATCATTCTGATCTCTAATTTCATGTTCATAGGGTGTTCTTCCCATGTGTGTCTGTGTCCAACTTTCTCTCTTTTATGAGGATATGAGTAATATTGGATTAAGGGGTCATTTTACCCCAGTAGGACATCATCTTAGCTAATTATGTCTGCAATGACCCTATTTCCACATTCTGAGGTGCTGGGGGTTAAGACTTCAACCTATGAATTTTGGGGGAGGACACAGTTTAACTAATAACAGTCTTCCCTTTTGTCCTCTCACATGAAAATATAGTCACCCCATCCCAATACTCCCCAAAGTCTTATCTCATTCCAGCATCAACTGTAAACCCAAAATCTCATCTATATTAGGAATGGATGAGATGGGGCATATGATTCATCCTGGGGTAAACTCTTTTCCATCTGTGAACTCAGACAAGTTATCTGCTTCTAAAGTACAGTGATAGAACAAACATAGGATAGACATTCTTATTCTAAAAGGGAGAAATTGGATGGGAGAAAAAGGGTCATGGGTCCCAAGCATATCTGAAACCTAGCAGGGCAAATTCTATTCAGTTTTAAGGCTTTAGAATGATCCTCTTTGGCCTGATGCTTTGTCCTCTCAGGATCTGATATTATTTTTTTAGCTATTATTTTATTTTATTTTTTAAAAGATTTTATTTATTTATTTGACACAGAGAGAGA